CGAAATTTTGGTAGCGAAAACCATTGTTACAGGGCCATGTTAAAGAAAAAGTGAATAAATCCAATTGCTAAATTTAGGAGGAAAAATCCTCTAACATGTGATGAAGCCAGAATCACTGTTTTGTGAGAACATGATCCCGAAAATTGATTGAAGGCAAAACGTCTCTCCATTCGTCTGTCCGTCCGTCAAGGTGTTATGAACAACGCTAGCGGCTAAATCGTTCAGCCGATTTTCTCCAAAATTGAAATATCTCAATCGATTTGCCTGATGTCGCGGTCCCTTGAATTTCAAAAAGATATTTTAATTTTGGGTGTACTTTATATGAAGCCCCTGTGACATTTTCAATTTATTTTTGTCAATGGCGCAGTCGATTTTGATAAAATTTTGTTTTTGGATAGTCCAAAGAACGTTTACGAGAATGGCGCTGGTCTCATGTTGGTCCAACTTTTTGAAAATTGTATAGGTTCAAAATATTGTTCGCCATCTTCCAACAAATAAGATATTAAAGAGAGATCTTTCCTCTAATGAAATTCATTCCTTAAAGATAGAGTTTCAAATAATGTCATGTACATTTTTTTGAAAAAATTGCGAAATTGAGACATTTTTCGTAATGTTGCGTGAATTATAGACAGTTTTTAATTTATATTTAGATTTATTTAGTCCAAAAACAGTAAAAACTATATGTGACGTAGGAGAGAGATGATTATCTGCGCACGTTTTCGTGAGTTCCAGAATCCCTTCCCGTCATTTTAACTATAAATAGTTGAAAGTCGAGTAAAAATTTAACATTAATAAATAAAAATAGATTTTAAAAATAAATTTAAAAAACGTAAGATATAGCACTATTTGAAAAACAGTCATTGATGTTCCGAGTTATATAAAACGTCTTTGCATCGGTACACGAATTGCAAGTATTTTCCTTTTTGCTGCATTGTTAACAAAATAGCAACTCGCCCTTACCTCTACTCTTACCACTACAAGCAAAAGGAGAGATCAACAAAACGTGCGCATAGTGAAGGTGCGTTTCCGTCCAGAAGCAAAACAAGGGGCCATCTCAGCCTTTGCTCAATTGATCAGGGAAAGTGGACAAAAACCTGATCAAGATGGGGGTCATTGAGCCGAAAGCTGAAGTACATTATTTGTAAGAATCATACTAACATATTAATTACATATTTGTGTTTACACAATTCCTTGTCAAAAACAAGTCCATTGTTTTTGGAGAAATTTTGTTGATGAATTGTTAGAAGGGCATTTAAGAAATTGTAAAGGTCTTATATAGGTTAAAAACCCTGATTTTTCGACAATTGAAAATCTTTTAATTTTTTTCGGTGACTTCCTACGACAATTATGAAGATACAATTTTTTTCTTCTTAATGAAATGTGTTTATTAAAAACAGATTTTCAAGTGAAGGTATGCTGAATTTTTCGAAACTATGAGTATTTTTAGAATAACTGGGTGTCAAAGCTTGTCGCCCACTCTGCGAATACTGCGCTTCATGATGGTAATTTTAGGTGGTACAATAGTTAATAATAAACAATTTATATACTTCTGGAGTGTTAATATATTTCTGACATGTAGATAAAAGATATTTTTTCAAAGCAACATTTAAGTGGTTATTGCGGTTAAGCCGTTCGAAATTTCGAACGACTTTATTCGACAAAAAAAGTTGAGAATTGTCTTAAGAGCTTATTTTCAAAGTTTTGTTGTTCCTTCCCTGGACATCCTGTATATTTTAGAATTGAAGCTTTCAGAAAACATTATGTACTCGTGCTATTGAACAAGGTTTCATTGAACGGGCGACGTGACCATTCGCCTTCCGTTCTCGAATTGTCCTTTTGTAAACTCTTCCTTAACCAATATTTGCCTTACAAACACCAACTTTCCGGGAAAACTATATTTATATTTTTTGTGGACGGTTGGCGGAAATGTAATCCGGATATCAGTTACTAATCACGCTAAGTGAAAGGAAAATGTATTGTGACAGTTGTATCTAACTGAATCAGTCATGTCAGCACAACAGAATAAAACATGGATAATAATTAATTGCCCCATTTTCGATTATATTTCCATTAATGAAATTCTGGTGTTATCTAAGTGCGGTATAAAATACGGGCTTGTGTCGTGCCTCTGTCAGAGAAAATACGTTGGTTTAAATTCTATTTCTACAAAGCAAGTTCATATATAAGAGAAATTTTCAACACAATACAGTTGTCTAACTCGTATGTTCTCGAATACAGAGATCTACAAGGAAAACGATCAGGAGAAAAAAGAATATTTTTAAAAAAATGAATGTTTCATTGTAAAATGGTTATCTTTAACTAGCGAATCTTATGAAACATTATAATTCACGTCGTGCCAGAAAAAATTCACCAAAAGCTAGGTGCTTTAAATTTTTTCCGTCCAATTGCTAATTTTTCAAAAAATTCTCCAGAATATTGTATAAAGGTAGTGTAAAAATAGTACCTAACTATTCGGCTTCTCCAAAGAAATCAAACGAGTAAATAATCACATCTGTGGATGTCTTACAACTATCCCAAAACAAAAACACTCCTCATAATATCAATATTCTTAAAAGACCGATTCTATCCTTAACTTCTAGGCATTTCTCCCTGACCCACCTCTCCCAACTACCTTCTTAGTTAACTGTATACTAGTCGAAACCTAAACTTCAGAGAAGGAAACCCATCTGTATGTGAATATACATTTACTGGGCTTGTGGGAAAATTAATAGCGCGGCCATCTAGACTTACGGAAGGCCATATACTAGAAGCTCTGTATTAAAAGCCTTTACAGTCCCCAAAAAATGTCAAACGAGAAGTAAATGGGCTCAACAGTTTCCATTGAAAGTGGCGTATCAGAGGCTCTCACCTCCTCGATATGTTCATCTATTAAACAGCCCTGCCCATCACGGGCACTGTGTCCGTCCAGTGCACATTAAAACCCCTCAGTTTTCTTTTCCCTATTCCAATTCTCCAGTTAAAATGCGTACCACGTTTTGTTGAAATGCTACTGTTCCAATGATGAGTTAAGCTGAGACACGAACACACATATTCACAAATCCACAATTTGTTTACGTTAATATTTTAGGCGTTAGTTACATTTGGGTGCCAAAGTTGAGATAAATAATAGTATTACATGTATTAATTTTATTTATAGTAGGTTGATAATAATATCACAAACATGTGTAGTGTACACACATTTTGGAGAAATGAAAGAAATTGCAGTTTTTGAAAAGTTGTAGCTTGATTGATAATTGGTTTCGATAGATATGTTTTATTCAAAAGTTATAGGAAATTGAATCCTGTTCAAAATTTATTTGAATAATTTACTACGGAACTTATAGTTAAAGAATTGTAGAGAAAAAAGGCAAAAGTCAGAAAAAAATCCGTTTTGGGGGGGCTCCTGGAGTTAGCACAGTGCCGGGGAAGTCGAAAAGTTAAAGAGTATTAACTAGTGCTTCGGTACATACAACATACCCAAACAGTTTTTATGACCTTTCTCCAAGTAACCCCCTTTTTTTCAGAACCTGCCGACTTGCAAACAATGAATTAAATCTGTCCGTTAAAATACTGCAGTGGAAGTTAAAATAGATAATGCGATCCGAGTCGCAACCACGGGGGATTACACTTTTAGGATTCTAGGAGCCTGCTGCTCTGTAGTTTTTACTGGTTTCTCCATTCTACACCAGGAAAATGGTAGAGCAGTACCCTTACAATCAGCTAACGAACTGCGCGTACGAGCTTACGACCAGGCTGAGGGGGGGGGAAGGGGCTCGACTGGTAGGAGAAACAAAGGAAACCCTGTGACATCGTAGGCTTCCGCTGCCGGAGTCAGTATTTACTTGGCTGTCCGGATGACTCCGCGTCCATACCGAAGGTGCCGACGTTTTGGTCGCGATTTTGCGAAATTCTGCGAAAAAAGAATGGCGACCGAAACGTCGGCACCTTCGCCATGGACGCGGCGTCACCCGGACAGCCAAGTAAATAAAGGAAACCCTACGTAAGCCCTATCCTACGTCGCCGCCGGCCCTCACCATCCAGCGGGGGGAGGGACACCGCCACCTTCGGCGGGAAAAGTCACTACACTAACGAGACCCATTTTCATATTCGTTGACGCTCCCGGAAACAATAATCAATAACAACTCAATAATCTAACTACTGGTGCTAAAACATAAATCACTTTCTTACCCTGACTTTCACACACAATTACGTGAAATAAACTCAAATTTTCAAAAAAAATTGTACATGATCTTATTTCAAGATTTACTTTTAAGGAACAGATTTCATGAAGGGAAAAAAATCTCCAGCATTATAATTGTAGCTGTACGAAGACGGAGAAAAAAATTGAATTTTCGCAATTTTTAAGATATCCCGTCACAACTCCGATTAACTTTTATCAAATGGAACCTTCCTTTATCCATCCCGAGATAACGAACGTGAAGAGACGGGTTCATGCATGTGCATAATGCCTTATATTAGCATTATATTGCTGAGTATTACGTATTATTGCTCAATATGTTTGAGATAGATTTACGATTTGTAGATTTAAGACACACAGCTACTCTTAACCTTTACCGCAAGCAAATGCGCTGCGAGATTCTGTTGTATTTTTTGTCAGTATCGTGGAACAGCAACAAAATGTTTCTGGGAAGGTGCCTTTTGTCTGAAAGAGATAAAGATAAAGGTAGGTCTTTGAAGTAAAGAGAATCCCTGTAACGAAATTAAATAATCACCCCAAACATTTTATAGGCTTCTCGTTTGAGAACAAAATTGAAAATTAATTAATGATTGGTAATATTAGCACGTACTCAAACATGATTCCCACCTGAAACGTCTGATTTGCGAATTCAAGCAATTCTCTATTTCATTCTACCTCTTTCCGAAACCAGCTTCACGTATCAAGGCATGCAACTGCCTTTTGGAGGAAGGGGTTTCCTTATCTTTGACAATGAGGAAAGCGGATGCCATGACGGCGGCAGTAGTTGTGGCAGCTGCAAATGCTACTCGAAGGTGGTCTGGCGTAGTGTTTCCATGAGAACGGTTTACATTGCAGCATTCGTGTTTTCACCGTAAGTACATTTACGATTATTTTCTGATTTCTTTCATGTGTAGAAGGTAGCAGTACTACTTGCCAAATAGTATTGTGGTAGAATTTTTAACTAGAGGAGCTACAAAAACACACACTTTCTCTCATTATTGAAAATAGTTACGAAATAATTAAATATTGTAACTTCCACCATACCAAAACTCAGTTATAACTTGAAAATTTCCAATTGCACCAATTCAAACCAAACGCCTGTGATACACATTAGCATTTCTTTCAATAGCCAGGAATACCTTTCATTTCTAACATCTAAAAATGAAACAAGCATGAAAATGATTAATTTTTACAGTATTTGCAGTACATTATATAGAAAGTAAATAATAATAATAATATTGCATACAAGCGTGCCTTGATAACATCAAAGTGAGCTAATTTCAGAATAACATTGTCAGCGATCGAAAATTCTTAAACCGAAAGAAATGTATTTGTTATTTTTACGATAATTTATTAACATCAATAAATATTTTTCCTTTCATAAGAATGTTGGCAACATCATACGGTTAACACAACCAGCAAAAATTATAAAAAATCTAACGAATTTTCAACCGTCGTGTTGCCATTTTGCGAACTGGCAGTGCGTCAAACAAAGTGCGAGAATTTCAAATTTACAATATCTATTTTCTTTCAATTTTCGAAAATACTGATAGTGAGCCAAAAATGGAACGAGCCGTTTTTTGTTACATACATGGTAAAGGCTTAAAGAACAAATTTGAAGCTGAAGAAATTTGAAGAGAAAATAAATATTTAAAATTTAAAATTACCTGTTTGACTGAAACTTAAGCAAAAAATACTTTTTCGAAAACTTGAACACGACCATATATTCAGATCTGTTTATGACGAACACACTTCATTAAGAAAAAATGTATCTTCATAATTATAGTCGCAAAACTGAATGTTTCCACGCTTCGAAAATTCAGGGATTTTAACGAAAATAAGACAAGTGTTCTATGCGATATCCGACACGAAAATCAAGTTTAAAAACTTTGGTACCTTTTTTATACTTAAAAATATAAAAGTGAGTGGGACATTAGCCAGATCAATTGGGGATTATAAATTTGGTGAAAATCTTACTTTCGATTTAGCATTTAGTGTTGTTTACCGACGGACAGACGGAAGGACGGACAGACAGACATTTTGCGCCTATCGATGTTCAGGTATTAAGGGCGCACACATTATGGATTCTGAATACACAACGTGTTAAAGGAAGTAATTTATTATATACAGGAACAATATTTATCTACTTTTTCGTTGCCAGGGTCCGGCAATAAGAGTTTCGCTGTGAGTAACTCTCCGGTTTTCCTGCAGATTACACTACTTTCGCTATTCTACGAAAGGAGTAGAGCGTATTTATTATGATGCTCCATGTACGTCGACAAATTGTGAACTTGACGGTAAAGATGAAGTATCACATGGTCACTAGGCCATGGTATAATGTGACTTTCAAAATAGAATGAGAGAAGATGTTTTTTTGTGAAAATTTTATTATAATCAAATTTGAAAAGTAGTTTATCCATAATTTATAGTTTATAAAATTCATCACAATGCCAAGATTACGAGATGAGTCTGCACGAAACTGAGGCAAATAACTTAACAACTTTTAGGAAAAATGTTTAAAATCACACTTTACATATTAAATGTGAAAGTGAGAATTCAAAATTGAAATAAAGATGCTGAAGTGAATATGTTGTGTTTTGGAAAAAGTTGACGTGTATTTTAGCCCTGAACTCTAATAGGTAACATTTAAATCTTCTGCAAAGAGTTTTAGACAAACTCCAAGGGGATCAAAAGATTGATAGAGTGTGGTATCTGTGAAGGTTGGGTTCATGAATCCTTGCCAATAAACTGTGTATGTGTTATAAGATAATCTCTTTGATTTTAATATGCTCCTTAATTCGTGAGTCGGGGATTTATCAACAATTTCCAAAGTACTCGTGGGATTACCGGTCTTAAGGAGAGTTTTTTCTTTAGTTTGTAAGAGAAAATAGAGTTTCACTTTATTGTTAATAATAACAATAATTTATTACGTCAAAAAATGTAAATTGGGAACTTTTTAGCGAGTAATGTCGTACTATACATAAACTGCCCAGAAGCAAAGGAAGAACCAGCTTACCATTTGTAGGATAGTCGGTCATGCATACTTTCTTGTTGATAATTTTTGTTATTGAAGGGGGGACCTATCTCGCTTTTCTTTTGTATTATTTCTAGTACTGTCGTAATTAAAATCCAGTTGTCATCAGAAACACTTGGGATGGCCGATTTCATTGATAGAAAATGTTACATACATTCCTGCCCTTGATGTCAACAAGTGAGGGTTGTCACATATTTATTGGTGATATTGGTAGATCAGGTGTAATCATCAATAGGTGGAACCGTAACGCACAAAATGAAACAACTATAAAAATGCTTAAAGATAAGAATCTCACTCATGTAGTAAGGGATCAACGGTATGTATTGATTCAAACTTCAGCCTGTTCCAAATTTCTATAAGCAAGAAATTATCAATTTCTCCCGTCGCTGTAATTCAGGATACGTGCACTTGGTTTTTTCTTCGTCATTAGTCATATATTTACTCTGTGAATGTGTTCATAGAATTATTCAGTGAAAACAAAACGAACACTATTAATGTTACAAGATATTGAAGTATTTAGTTGAAACTTCACGTAAAGATATATATGTAAAGATTAGCAATTCAATGGTCAAAGATAAAACAGTTTGAAGCTGTGCTAGAGAGTCGGATAAAATATAGTCATAGCAAGCCTCAAATTATTGTTGATAATAGTTATCAAATAAAAATAATAATATTATTTTGCTTATAAGTTGACTTAATTCAATATGATTATTGTGTAAAGACTAAAACAATTTATGAATTCACATTATGCAGTTTTTTAATATAATGTACTTATTATTTACAATCTCATGCAATGGAAAGCTGATTTCGCTCAAATGTTTTTTGCAACGGTTTTTAAACACGATTTTATGCCATTTTCAAAATACGGTACAGTCTTATCTACATATGCTACTAAATAGAGAAATGAAAAAAAAGAATTTTTACGTATGAGTAATATTTTATCCATCGTCGTCCGGTAAAGAAGATCAAATACAACATTAAATTGTTTTTGTCTAAACTTCACAACGAATGAACAAAACAACTGAAGATGAATTGCACTAGGGACTGTGGTTCATGGAAGTGGAGATGAGTTTTAAACAGACCCCTACGTCGTAATGCCACGACACGAATCCGGTCGTAGATCCTCAGTATCGCTTGCTGGCGATGTAGCAATGCGCGCTACAACTGTAATTCGAAGGAGGAAACGTCTCGTCAGTTCGCATTTTAGTTTCCGCGTTAGTGGTTTGAGACACTGTGATAGAGCGATATAAGAAACTCTTGTTAACCCTGAATACATTATCCCGAGTTGAAGATCTGGCCTATCTTGTGTAATAGACTGATGGATTCTGTATTCACAACGCCAGAAGACGGATCTTTGGCGGCTAAAGGACAATTAAAATGGTACGTAATTTTTGTAAGATCGCCAAATAATATAAGTAATAGTAAATATAATATTAAAATATTGCAGATATCAATGAAAAGCGTTAATAAATTGAAACAATTTTCAAATATAAATATTTTATATAATCTGTAAAAGAATCTTAACTACTCTGGAATAGCCGACATGAAACGACTGTAAAATATCTGGAAATTATTATCACAACGAGCGCGACTTTGTGCAAACCAAACTGAATTCTGTTTGCTCTTCTGAACTTTGTGATATACGGATGTCCAACTCCTATGTTCTTTACGCTAATATTACTTACGTGGGCCGACGTCCCATCCTAAACGTAATAGGTAATGCAGAAAATGTCTTTTTAAGAACATAATATAGTTTTTCTGCGGAATCTGTCTATTAATAAAAAACAGCCTTCATATTCTGTGGCGGCTTCAAACACTCGCAAAGACAAAATAGTGTGAGCGAATAGTGTTTCTCTGTATCGTTCGGAGATCTGATAAAAGGATATAGCCAAATATGGGAATGAAAAAAAACCCTCAAACCAAATAGCTAAATGCGATACTCATATAAAAGAAAAAAGTCATATTTATAGATCATCTGATAAGTAATCGAATTTCTATCTGTCACACAGTACGTATGACGAAGAAAATGATGTTGAGTCGTCGATATCAGCTAATATAATACATCTAAATGTTAGTAATGAACTCGTAAATACTTTTTTAAGTCCCTAATTTCCGTAATATTTAACTAAAAGTTTACTAATAGACCTCGAATTGAAACCTCTTAAAACACGTTTCCCTAATTTATTGCTTTCTTTCTGGATTCATGTTCAAGTTAGCAATATATAAGATTAACAATTACAATAAGACGCACCATCGATATCAGAGCTCAGATTATTGTTTTTCTTTTTTGGCCCGAACAGATACCAGCGTCCGGGGAAGAGATCCCCCATTTTCGTCTTGCACTATAGTGCGCAGGACATCCTACCAAGTTTAGCAGCATGTCAGGGTACTACGACCCTTGTCGGTGAGTACAGCTCTAATAACATAATGCATATTAATGAAATTACAATCAGAACCACCGTACATCTGAAATTAACTCACATAGTTAGATAATCAAGTTTGTTCGGATTTCGACGTAACCTAAAACACAAAAAGAGTTTTTTTTTCATAACACATGACAGCTACCACCAGTTTCTGTCCAACACCATAACGTCTACACAGAAGTTCTGCCACAAATAAATGTTTTGCCAATCGATCAGACTAATGCAGTAACTTGCAAATTTGAAAATAATCTTTAATTAGTTGGGGTACTTCACAAAACGTCCCTAGAGCATTTGCAAACTTTTCTCCAAAATTACTGCAATGACTTTAACATTGCTTTCTTGGATAAAGGAAAAAGCGTTTGCAATACCTATATATATATATATATATATATATATATATATTCTAACATACCCACCTA